GGGGAGGAGCGCAGACCCATACTAGCCGTGGGCCCTTTCCCTGGTGAGCAGCTTTCCCGACTTACAATGAAGAATAAAATAATAGCAGCAATAATAACTGCATCTGAATTGACTCCTGAGCGCTCTCTCAGTGCCAGGCTCTAACTTCCTTCCCCCAGCTCTCCCCTCGGTAGACGTAGATGAGGAAGGTGAAGGTTTCCTTCTAGAAATCAGGACCCAGCAGCTCCTCCTGGTGAATGGGCATCGCTCAGCGAAGCCGCCCCAGACGCCAGAGAAGGAGCTACTCCTCCATGTCATGGGCAGATGTTTATTGAGCACTTACTGGATGTTGGGCAATGACACAGACGCTAGGGACGACACCGCTGTGACCGAGGGATGCAGGCCCACCTTGTGATGCATCCCACAGAGGCAATGCCAACTGAGGGACACAGGTGAACAGAATTGTAACAGGAAAGTGTGATTGGAGGAGAGCAGGGAGAGCGCAGGCGTGCTACCCACAGAGAGAAACCAAGGCAATCCCAGGCCGGCAGCCTCTAAGATCTCAGGGTCCCTCTGGGGTCCCACCCCCCTGCCTTGTGACCTGCCAGCCCTAACCCCCCTGCTTCTTCACGCTCTGCCCTCCCTCTCAGTCTCACTTTCCCCTTCTGGCACCCAAGGCTGACCAGTCCCAAGTCCGGTCTCAGTTTGTGAGGAGCCAGTAAGATAATGTGGCCAGCTGGAGGCCCCTCCCCTCCAACACATCCACTGGACCTTGGAGTGAGGTGGGGTTTAGAGTCCCAAGGGAGGCTCAGAGCGGGCCATGACTCCAGGAGGCCTGTCTCAGATTTGCTCACTGAGCCCCGTGTTGTGCTGGGGCGACACCAGCATGCCAGGGGAGGCAGATACCAGTGAATGCATCACCCCACCACTGCCTGGGCCAGGCCTGTGTTCCAGCCTGACAGAGCCCCCTGAACCCCAACTTTAGCTGTCATGTAGAGTGCCCTAGAGCAATTACTTGTGTGATTCTGCTGCCCCCCTGGCTTGGAGCTGTGGTTGGAAGGGTGGTTTCGGTCGTAGCCCTGCCGTGTCTCCAAGACACTGGGGTCTTTAATGAAAACTTGCCAGACAAATGGGCAGATTACAGGGAGGATGACTCCTGGAACAGTGCTCCTTTCTGCAGCGGGGGACCGCCCCCACCTTCCTCCATTGACAGGACAGGGACAGTGGGGCTCAGGAAGGGGAAATGACCAGCTAGAGTCTGCAAGGAAGGGCAGTGCCAGGCTGACCTGGGAATGGGGGGCTTCAATCCCCACTCACCCTTGCCCAGCTCGGGGCAGGGTCTCTCTCCCCAGTTGGGTTGAAAGAGGATGCAGTTGATTTATTCTGTGCTGATTCCTGTGCTAAGCAACTCAGACATTAACCTGGAGCCATTTAATCAGGGTTCGAATCCTTATACAGTGGGGTCTTGACTTACGAGTGTCCTGACTAACGAATTTTTCGAGATACGAGCCATCTCTCGGCTGATTTTTTGCTTTGAGTTGCGAGCTAAAATTCGGATTACGAGCCAGCTTCAGATACCCCACTACGTAATCTGAGTTGCGAGCTCCATCACAGAACGAATTAAACTCGTAAGTCAAGGCCTCACTGTACCCATATTTCCTGCTTTGTGACTTCTAGCAAGTGTCCGAACCTCTCTGCCTCCTTCTCCTCGGTGGTCCACGACCATCACAGCATCAGAGCTACTGTTTGCAAAGTACTTAAACGTGTGTGATGTAAGTGTTGGTCATCAGTTCATGAAAGCTGCTACTAGTGAGGAAAGAGACTCAGCCAGGGGGGGGTCTTGCCAGGCCTCAAAGTGAACCCCAGAACCTTGACCACAGCCCCGCTCAGCCAGAAGCCTCACCCCATCACATGTGGGGGCTGGGGAAACTGAGGCCCAGAGGGGGGGGAAGTACCTGGGGATAGATTCCAAGCACCTGTCCTGTGAGCCACCCTGGAAGGGACCAGGGCAGGGAGGCCACCAGCTCTGACTCCAAATAGGAACCTCTCCAAGTCAACAAAACCTTCTGCTTCCTCTGCAGAGCCCTGTGACTGACAGGTGTGGCAGCCCCCCACCCCTCCACCAGGACTCCCCCAAACCCTGAGCTGTAGCCTCCCTGGAATCAGAGATGAGGAGGCTGCCGGTTTCAGGCCCAAGCTAGGGAGGGGGCCCAGACGGTACTCACCATCCGCACCCACCCTAAGCTGTGCCCCTCATGCTGTGGCCTTGGTGGTCACCCCCTCCCGCCTCAGTCCTCACCCTCTCCTCCATGCCCAGGAACATACTATATGGAACGGGGAAAGGGGCAGGTCTCAGAGGAGATGTGGGAAGGTGGTACTTCCCAGGATTCAGGCCTGAGTCATAGGCTGCCCCCTGTGGCATCCACCGGACAGGCTTGGAGGACACATAGGGAGGTGGCTCAAAGACAAAGAGCCCGCCATCCCAGCGCCAAGCCTGAAGAGCCACCTTGTGCCCAGGCAGCTCCGGGCTCTAAGCTGCCTTTTCCTTTGAAAGGGGGAGGAAAGGCCTGCCTGCAAGCTCCCAAGAGGGACCAGGCCCAATAAGGCACTGAGGGAGGGGGCAGTCTTCCAGGCAAGGAAACGGAGGCATGGCGGAATGGCCTGATTCTGCGGAGGCCCAGTTCAGGGAAGGGAAGTAACTGGTCCAAGGCTGCACAGCAGAATTTGAACCAACATTTCTACTACCTCCCACCCCAGGGCTCCCTGGGGGCGAGGCTAGGGCAGGGAGCATTTGCTAACTGAATAGCTACAGATAGAATGGACTGGAGACAGGGTGGGAACCCAGCTAGAGCCAGGCTCGTAGCTCCTGTCACCATGGAGGCTCCCCAGATAGAGCTTTCCTGGGTCCAGGAGCAGGATGGGGGGGGGGGGGGGGGGG